AGTAGTTTATCATCAGCTTCCAGGCCCTCACTTCGATTAATGGCATTCATGTCTCAAGTCTTAGTTGGGCATTTGATGTACCTTTGGGTGCACCCAAAATTAACCGCAGAAATTTTGTTTGGATTACTTCCTGTGGTACCTTCTTTATGTAAATTCCTGTTTGAGCCCAATACAAGATTTGAGCCAATGTTTTGGCCTCAAAAAGTTTTAAAGCCGCAGGTACGAATTGACCTGTAGCTGCAAAGGGTGCCCATGTAGGCACCAGTCTGGCTGTCCCCTTTTGCACTATACTGCTATGATTTCACTTCAACTGCTGTGGCTGCATCCTATGGAATCCTGGGGATTGTAGTTTGATCAGAATCATCAGAGGAGGAGCTGTCTGGTTGACAGTTCCAAAGGCCTCTCCCTACACTACAAATCCCAGGATTCCATATGTTGCCATAGTGGTTAAAGTGGAATCATAGCACTATAAATGTGTAGTGTGAAAAGGCCTTATAATATAAGAAAGAACACTGTGGCAACTTGTATTATTTGTAATGTGTCCCCGCAAGCTCATTTTAATAATATCCATACATGGTAGATTATCTGGAGAGTAGATGTCTGGGGTAAGGTCAACCAGTGAGCTCCATGGTAGAGATTTAGAATAGAATAGAATAGAATAGAATAGAATAGAATAGAAGTTTATTACGGCACATAGCCAGCATAGCAGAGATTAAAATTTGTATCTTCCTCACATTGAATATATCTCCCTAAACTGGGACTGCAAGGAGCTCTTTAAATCCTGACCCTTTCCTTTTAATTTCCTGTTTCTGAGAATATTGTCAGAGAATACATTATGCACAGCTTGGGTAACTACAGATCTCCATATCCTCTCCTAAGTAAGAAGAATTGGTGCTAAATAGAAAAGCCATTCCTTTGTTGTTGTTGTTAGCAGCCCTTGAGTTGCTTTGGACTCATGGCAACCCTGTGAATGAGACATCTCCAAGAATCCCTATCTTCCACTGCCTTGCCCATATCCTGCAAGCCCTTGCCCATAACCCCTCTGATCGAGTCTATCCATCTGGTCTGTGGTCTTCCCTTCTTTCTTCTACCCTCTACCTTTCCTAGCATTATTGTTTTTCCTAGTGATCCATGCCTTCTCATTATGTAGCCAAAGTACGATACTCTCAACTTGATCATCTTTGCTTCCAAGGAGAGCCCTGGTCGAATCTGCAAGAACCCATTTGTTTGTCTTCATGGTTGTCCATGGTATTTTAAGTACTCTTTTCCAGCACTACATT